GGGTAAACCGCCGAAACCCCTAGATCCGCCCTGATAGTGAAGGAAACCAGGACCCCGTCTTTTGCGATTAATCGCAACTATGTATATTATAATAGATATGGAGTCGCAAATATGTGATTGATTCGGATCAATCGCAACTCTTTATAAGGCAGGGTTAAGACCTTGCACAGTGAGTTACATAGCTATTTATTAAATCCTGAATGGTGACAAACACAAAATAATCAACATTAAAACCAATGTACACGCTTTGTTCTATAGCCATGGCATGAATCACATTATTCACGACACGCATTCTTGTTTTGTTGTTATTTTACACTCATCCTTTCAAATTTCTATTTTTGTTTTTTCTTCTTTTTTCTCCTTGAATCATTATTTACTCCTACCAGATAACCTGCCCACCATTCTGACTATCGTCTTAGTCATCGTCTTCTCTTTCATCTTCCTCGTCGTTCTCCTATGCTGTATCTGTCGATGTCGGAAGAATGGAAGGTGTAAGTGTAAAAGGAAACCCAAGAAGGTGGAGTTGTGGTACTAAACCTCGATCAAAAAAATAATAATAATATTTTAAATTATGTGCCCATACAGTACTAAATTCAACGGGATATGATCATTATCAACCCATCTACTACTGCACACTCTTGGGGTTAAACAATATACGTGGGGGGTTCCCCGGCGGCATGTTTACTTTGATAGACAATAATTGTTTCATATATCTCTGTAAAAAGTTTGACACATGCACTATAGTCGCCCATCTTTGTAGATGAAACTTAGGATGAGATATAGAATGAAAATGAGTTTGTTCACAAATTAAATTGAAGATAATACCCGGAATCAAACCCGGCAAGTTAGAGAAATTACTTATCAAAATCAGTCTCAAAAGTATTGGCTAATTTGGCTGAAATATAAGCACAAAATGGACAGCTGTCTCAAATAAAATGAGAAAAAAATTATGAAAATATATTATGAATAAAATGACCAATTCATGATGGTTACATGTCGAATGAATGGCTTTAAATCCAAAGATGGATACACATTCCAGCAAAACATGAAATAGTCTTAAATTGTCATCGGAGGGGGGGGGGGGTTGTCCTCGTGGGGTAGTTGTTCTCGGGGGTAATTGTTCTCGGGGATAGTTTTCCGGAGGAAGATGTCCTCCGGTGGGCGGGGGGGGGGGGATGTCCTTGGGGGTAATTTACAGGGGGGGGGGGAGTAGGTAATTGTCTTTGGGGGGTAACTTTCCGGGGGTGATTGTCAAGGGGGTAATTGTCCTGATACGGAACATTAAAACTGCATGGGCACTCTATAAACTGGGAAAGTCATGTATAATTTTTATTTTAAAATTGCTTGTAATATTTAATTCTCCGTAATATTTTTAATCTGATGAAATATTCTGAAAATACTTTATTATGTGAAGAAGGTTAAGTGTTCAAAATGAATGGATTATTGATAGAATTATAGCCAAGTATACTGATATGGTCTATTGTACCTTTTTTTACAATCAATTAATAATATAATGAACGTTATTTGTATAGCGCATATTACAAAGAAAGTATTGTTCAAAGTTTTACAGTAGTATTTCTTTGAATTATGCAATGTCAAGCTAGCATGTAATTTAATTTATTTATTGTTTCCTTCATAAAAAAACGAAATATGGATTGTATTCATAATCTACCTTGTACATGTTCAACGGCACAATGAATTTCTATGTATAGGGGCCCGGTCTTTATCAACAGTTGCGATTGTTCCGTACTGATCGTAACTCCTCCAATCAATTGCAGACTTAAAAAAAAACCTCATTTCTTCAGTATATGATTACGATCAGCTTGGAACAACCGCTCCTGTTAACAAGACGGGGCCCAGGTATTTTGTAATATAAATAATAAAATATAGTTTGGGTAAAAAAAATTAAGATCTGTTTGAGCAAGTTGTTATAGATTGTAAAAAAAGCATAGCTTGTGCGTATTCTATAGTGAACAAAATGTAAACCACAGGCTTTTACATTAAATGTACAGTGTATGTCTTATTATAAGAAACAATTAAATGGAATATTCAAATTGTATGATATAGCTTTATAGAGTTATTGTTTACATAATAGTAAGAGCATTGATATAACCATCTGCACGATCTGTCGTATTTTATCAAGAGTTTCACTCAATAGAGGTTCCAACCTTAGTAGTAAACTATGACTCTAAAAGAAGAAAATCAAAGAAACCAGTTGGTAAAATTTTTAACGGAACCGGACAACAAGTAAGAAAGTTATGAATTTTTGAAAGTCATAACCAATATACGGATTCATATTGGCTGAATATGTCACTGTGACGTAGTGCCTGACTATTGACAACTTTCCCGTTTGTTTCAACACACAAAGTGACTAAAATGTCAATCTTTCAAAATATGTGAATCAGGGGGGGGGGGGTTCTTCTCTTTAGAGTACTTATAATAAAATGTTATCCGTAATGAATTGTAGTAGTGCCCCAAAGGAGAAGGAAAACAGGATTTCGTAGAGATTAGTGTTCACATTCCACTGGCCTAATTGCCAATTTGAGATTTGTCTATAGACTTTTATAGTGAGCTCATATTTCAAACATTCATAACTCTCTTATTAGAGGTCCGAATCGTCTTAAACATTCGCCATTCTGTTTCTCTTATTTTGTTTGCTTTCATACAAATTAACTTATTGCACAGGTTGGACTGCCCTTTAAGGGCATTCATGTAATGTAATCATGGGTGAGATGTGGAGTATTTTACCCAGATTTTCACTTATTTTCTCTGTAACATGCAATCTGGACTCGACAATCTCACGATGGCCGATGATTTTTTTTTTCGGATTAGGGTTAGAGAAACATTTAGTGTTCGGTCCAGGGTTAAATTGGAAGCATTCGAAGTCAACCCAGGAGTATATACCGAAGCGTACTACCATGCATCAAAACGTGTTTATATCTGTATATCGGTTTTCAGTTAGACTTCATTACAATTCCATCAGCAAATACTGCAAGACTTTAGTGTGCTTCTGTAATAGATTACAATTTATGTAGGCCTATCCATTTTGTGAAGAAATAAAGAAAAAAGTCTGAAACGAAATAGTGTCCATCTTCTGCCTGTTTAGTCAGTTGTATACATTCAAATGGTATTCCAACCATTCCTTTCTTAATGAATTATGAAATCGCAATACTACTGCATGGGAATTAAATTGTTTCGATGAAATGTAAAATGAATTCCCCAAATCCATATTTTCTTAAATGTTTATGAACGTAGACATTTAGTCGTTTTAATCCGCTTCAGCTGACCTTTGATGCTGTCCCTCATTAATTATTTTCTCCCACTAATAGGGGAAATGCTTTTGGTATGAGACCATACATTATTATAATCATGTTGCATGATAAACTTTCGTCGAAGTTGGCACCTTGCCTAGACTGTCTGTCAGGGTATTGTCTCAGTTCTAAAAAAAACAATTATGGGTGTAACTAGTATGCACGGAATAATTGTTTTGCAGAGAGAGAGAGATATTTATAGAACTTTGCAATCTGAATGTGCATGATGCTGAAAATGAAGAGGACGAGAAGGAGCAGGAGGAAGAAAGAGAGAGAGAGAGGGTGAGAGAGAGAGAGAGAGAGAGAGAGAGAGAGAGAGAGAGAGAAAGAGAGAGGGGTGCGAAATACGACGAGATTTTGATTGCCAATTAAAATCAATAAGACTGCTAATAAGCAATTAAGGGTATTATTTCAATGTAAAAGTTTGCAGCGAAACCTACAAGTTTAGTATTCACTGATGCTATTTAACGCTCTCTCTTTTATTTTTTAAATTTTTTAATAGAATGATCATAAATCTGTGCTTATTGCTAATATCCTTGTGGAATTTACATGGATTTGAGGATATACTATTAGCAAATTACCTACGAAATACTGCCACTCAAAATCTCGTTGCAGAAAGAGAGAGAGAGAGAAAGAAAGGAGAAAGAGGGAGAGAGAGAGAGAGAGAGAGAGAGAGAGAAGGAGAGAGAGAGGGAGACATAGAGAGAGAGAGAGAGAGAGAGAGAGAGAGAGAGAGAGAGAGAGAGAGATGAGAGAGGGAGAGAGAGACAGATAGAGAGAGAGAGAGAGAGAGAGAGAGAGAGGGAGAGGGAGAGAGCTAGGGATGTGGATACTGACAAGGTAACTGTTGCATATTGTACAGAAAACGGTGCTACTGTGCATGTGCCGATTTGTTTGTTATAAAACCAGCTAACTCTTTCGTCGTAATTTGAAATCATTCGGAAATGGCCTTACAATGATAATAATGACACCCCTCAAAGTGCAAGATACTATATAGATAAATAGATTCAGTTGTTATAAAACAAATCACATATCCCGCCGAGAAAAAATTAAAAAGTAATTAGTTTTATCGTGGAGGGGGGGGGGGCATAATGGCCCCCCCCCGCCTTTTTAGGGTTAAAATCAGAAGTATGTATGGATACGTGACTTGGTAATTGACCGGTTGCTATGGTTTCGATCTGGTTTCTTCACATGGACAAACTTGTGACCTACACACAGTAGGTAGATACCTTCAATATATCCATTTGTCTTTTGTTACCCCTTTTAACCATTTTTTTTAATTATAAAGAAGAAGTTCTATAAAAACGTTGCCTCCATTGAAAGAAACAAAATACCATGAAAAACTCATTTCCTTTATCTCGATTAATTCTAATATTCTATGAATTTGAATCGTCTTTAGATCAATTCTATGCTTCATTTTGTTCTCATATTAATGAGATTGATTCTTCCATAACGAGGTGTTATGTAAGTCAAATGAATCGATGAACATCATTATAAACAGAGATCCCGCTGGGTTAATCTCACTCCGAGTTACGAGGCGGTGTGTTCTTGGTATAACATCGCAAGGGACACTTTCAAATAAATGATTGTCTTTAATCCTACGCGCGTGTGCATATTTTTTGAAAGGATTGTATATAACCATTGAGTTTCTAAAGGGAGAATCATTATTAAGCTTCTTTCATCAATAAAGTCTTCATTCAACAGAGTTCTTCTATCATTTTCTCCGAAATAGCAAGACTGTCTTTGACCAGTTACTAGGTAAGAAATCTTAATTGTTATTCCTTTTTTTTCAATTTTTAAATTATACAAACTATGTCAATAGAAAATTCGTACTTCATTACCCGTAATAATATATTGAGTTACATTTTTCTAAATGTATACGTCGAGATACTTTTTCTCTTTTAAAAAAAGAATTGACAAAACAATTTTCCTGCATGTCAAGCACTCATCACCCGATCATACGGGTGATTATTTAATGCCTCATTATTTATTTGAAGTATTAATGATGATATTTAGACTTCTGACTACTATCATACAACAGTATAATGATGAGATGTAGTTTTCATTTTAGAATTATCCAGCAACAAAACACCCTTGGTACATCCTAACATGATACAAATTTATGACTGTAGGCCAAATATTCAAGGCTTACCAAAGTGCTATACAATGCATAAAACACTTTTAATTAGTCGATATAATATGAGACGCAACCACCGGGGTTTCAGTAACTTCGGAATGTTACAATGGAAGTTTCTTAGAATCAACGCCATTTTATTGGTAGCTGAAAAGATACAAAATCTCCTAAATGAGATACGAGGTGCCTCATTTTGAGTATTTTCCTGGCCCAAACAAAATTTCGTAAATTCGTATATTTCGAAAATTCGTAACGCGGCTATAGACAACTCTGACCAATTGCACCCAAAAACAATACAGCATCGAACAGAGTCTTTTTTATGCGAAAAGATCTCTGCGTATATTATGTAGACAGTTACTCGATATTATACGAATTTTTAAATCAATTAATATAATATCACCTTTGTTCAACCAGTATATTACAAGTGTGCACCCTGTTTGGGAAACACGCCACCTTCGGCTGGCAGCAGGTAGGACGAATCGCATGATTGGAGCGATTGTTGGAATAGAATGTTTGGTCTGTAACGTGATTGGGCCTCATAATTGTAAACTACTTATCCCTTTTCATTCTTGTAAAAAAATTGACCAAAGATATTATTCGATATACCTTGCTACAGTTTTGTCGGATACTTTGTTAATCAATATTCCGTATAATAAATGTCAGTGGTTTCAGAGTATCGTTAATCATAGCTCGTAAATAAGGCGACACTAAGACATGTCTTCAATAAACAACTATACCTGCTGCTCCAGACCGGTGCATTGAACTCTATAAATGATATCAATATTAGCGAGTTTTATTAACCTCTTATTGCATGCGTCGAATAAAATAAGATGAAAGGATCGGAATCACCGACATTTTTTTTTATTCTGTTGGGCTTTCGATCTCATGTACGTGTAATGGTTTAATGAAGGTCCACGAGACAAACGGCAATAAAAGCGACGCCCAAAGGGCCAAGGGACTGATATGTCGGTCAGACAGGCCTCCTGACAAGGATTATGCATGGGTCGGATTATGGGCTGTCGGCCCGCTGTCGGTCTGCTGAGATGCCCCTCCCCTTACGTATAGAGTTAAAGATTGATTTTTAAAAAAAAACGAAGCTGGGTCCCTTTGTAGTCGGATTAGAGTCTTTAAAAAACACGGCCCAACTACACAATGTGAGACCGATGCATGTCTTTACAATTGACATTGTTTCTATTTTTGAAAAGGTGCACATTTGGTCACTTCTCACCTATGTCCATCCTCCCTATATTATTCCTATTTACTCGATCAAATTGAATTGAATTGATAATGGTTTTATTGAGAATAAAAGAATAACGATGCATCGCGGTCTAAATGGCCCGAATCGGGCAATGTTTTACAAATGTAAAATAAAATATATAAAAAGCACTCATAGCAAATGACATCAAAATTAATGAACGGAACGTTAATGAATAAATTGTATAAAATAGTATTCAACTTTAAAATTCTTATTTCTAATTATTTTGATCTCCCTAAAGTATTTTATATAAAAAGGAGATTTTAAAAAAAAAAGTGAAGAAGAACATGATGATGGTGTAGAGTAATGAAAGAAAAGAAAAGATGATGGTAAGATTAAGAAGAAAATGAAGAGGGACAAAAAGAGGAAAAAGTTGAAGAGAAGGAGGAAGAAGAAGATTCAAGTGGGGATAGTAAGAGGAGATGGTGGGTAGTGCGAATAGTAAGCAAATAACTACCGTTGGTGAAGGTGATGGGACAAACTATAACTTTCGAGGCGGTCTGGATATGCTATCTTTCCGAAGCGAAGCTGAGGAAAGATAGCGTATACATTCAGATCGCCGAGGAAGTGATAGTTTGCCATCGCCTGAAACCAAAAGGTGATTATTTGCTTTATATTCCACATCGGAAAAATTTCACTTTTTCCGTCATTTTAGAGCAACAAGTCATCAATTAAAAGCTAGCAAACAGTGTACGATACGTACAGTGCATGCAGTATGCTGTGACCATATAGTCTAGGTAATAGCTACTCAGCCTACTACTAAGTAAAAGGTTATATTGGTTTATCCAGAATATAAAATGGGAATTATTAGAGGAAGTAATATTGAAATTAAGATGGCTCAGTATTAACGTATGACCCTTGTTTTTCATTGTCTTTAGTTCGACACATCGAGATTTGACGATGAAGTCAGTAAACGGTTCCCTGATGTTGCGGGTGTTCATCATCATAGTGTCAGGACTCCTCACAACACAAACCTATACCAGAGCTGACAGCTTGGGATACGGAGAAGAAAATACAACAATGATCATGGTGGAAGAGATGACTGAAGCCACAATGGTGGAAGACAGCTCTGAGACCGGTTGGGCTTGGTACCCAATGGCATGGAGATGGTGGACAATCGCCCAGGTGATCTGCGCTATCCTTGGTGTCTTCGACAACGGCGTCGTCATCGTCATCATCTTTCAGCGAGTGAAGAAGAACCGATCAACAGATACCCTGATAGGAGCTTTGGCCATCGCTGATCTTCTGACGTCGGTATTCCTCTTCCCGCTCCCTTGGGCCAAGCATGTTCCTGCAACCATACTGGGAAGGATGTACTGTAAGCTGCTCTATCCTGGCTTCGCTCTTTGGTTGTGTATCACTGCATCCACATATTTACTCAATGCAATCTGTATTGAACGTTACATCGCTGTAGTTTATCCACTCTACTTCAACAGGGTCTTTACCAAGGCTAAGGTGTCCATTGCTGTTGCTTTCGTATGGCTTTTAGCCTTTGCTCAGTGCGTCTATACCTTTTTTGTATATATCTACGATGATGAAATCGAGAACTGTAACTCACTCATTAATACTGATGTAGGTCGGGTAGTCCATGCGTACTATGCCTTTTCCATCCGTTTAGCCATTCCAGTTCTGATCATGGTCATCACTCAGATCCTTATCATCCGGTCACTCCATGTCCAGTCTAAGCGGTTTCAGGGCATGAGGGGTGACGTGGAAACCAACTACCCTCCATCCTTCCACATCACTGCCCGTAACAACGTCATCAAGATGATGCTCATCGTTGTCTGTGTCTATGTCATCACTTGGACACCCAATCAGATCGCTTACCTTTTATTCAACCTCGGTTACATCAGTTCATCTTACCGCGGAAGTCCACTCCATCGCAGTCTCACCGTCTTTGCTTTCCTCAACTCCTGCGCGAACCCTATCATCTATACGTCTCGTCATACAGAGTTTAGACAAGCATTGGCGAGTCTATTCACCTGCTCCAAGCCTGAGATCGCATCCCTGTTCGCTATCAAAGATAAGGCCAAAGAATCTCCAGTAGCCGCCGAGACAAAAACTGAGAATATTCCACAAAGCGCCTGAATGTTACATACAGCCCATCCCACCTCAATGTATAATAATGGTGATAATAATAATAATAATAATAACATTGATGATAATAATAATGATAACAACAGTCAGAATATTTACTATTTAGGAGGGCTAAACAAAAAATAAACTTAGCGCTTACGAAATCACAGAATTCAAAGAGAAATATAAATAACATGGACACAAATAAGCACATTATTAAACTGAGACAAGAAGTGTGTTTTAATGGAACTTTTGAAAGTGGTATGGCATGTTATTTCTATGACGCACAGTGCTTGTTCTGTTTGTGTTGTGTTGTGTTTTTCTTCACGTAGATTCGAGTTCGGATGATTGAAGTGAAAAATCTCAGCCTTCAAAGGTCGATAGCCAGGAAAAGACATTTTGTAAGCTTCAAACAAATATGTTATACATTTCGCATATTTTGTGTAATGTACAGTTTGTAGATAAGTAAGATGCCTTATAGTTAGATATCCATCACAGTGAATTGTTTTAATAATAATAATAGTCCGTTCTTGTATAGCGCATAATACTTAGTGGTCTCTATGCGTTTCCAAAGAGCTTCGGAACTTATTACCCTAGCTTTGGCTCCGGCTACCGATATTGGCACACAGTGCATTTCAATGAATAATCCTACCAGGTAACCATTTACCTCACCTGGGTTGAGCGTGGCAATTGTAGATCAATGTCTTGCAAAAGGACATTAGTGCCGCGGCGGGACTTGTGCCGCGGACCTTGTAAATAACAAAAAAAAATCCGGACGAGAAACACGTAATATGTGTTACTTGGCCTAATTGTTGGACTTCATATGCACTAGAGCACAGCAGTTAACTTGTTCATGTTATTTTTGTAATTTTTATAAATTGAATTTCTCACCATAACCATCAGTAAGAAGTTGAAAGTCTCTTCACATGCACTTGTAAATCCATTAAACTAGTTTATGTCGAGACCTTCAGTTTTGGTGGTAGAACTAGTTTTTCATGTATATGCGTGTAACGAGGATATATCGATTATTAAGCTCCTTCTTTGTATCTCATTATACAGTACTTTGTTTGGACGCGTTTAGCTTAGCTTGAAATGCATTTTATTCTTTCTTTCTCATCCGTATTGCATTCTTTCTCTGTCATTCCCTAACTCGACAAATACGATCCATTATCGGTTCTAGGACACCTACCCTTATGGCAATAACCCCCTAGGACAACTACCACCCGATTGATTATTACCCTAAGTGGTGATTATCCCGGGGGTGTCATTTTTTTTCTGCGGCACAGATTGGGGCTTTTTTTTTTAAAAGAGGTCTTGATTTAACCCTAAACCTAACCCTAACCCTAAATTTTCCCGTAGGCTCAACACGCATCTAACCCCAATCTGTGCCGCCGAAAAAATAACGCATCCCTGGGTAGTCGGGTGGTAGTTACCATAGGTGGCAGATGTTGAAGAGGTTTATGTCCTAGAGGGCGGTTGCCCTAGGGGGTACTTGTCTGGGGTACTTAGAATGGTTATCCTAGGGGTAGTTGTGTAGGGGGTAGTAGTATGGAGGATAGTTTTCCGTGGGTAGTTGTCCTAGAGGGTGGTTGTCTTAGGGTTAGTTGTCTGGGGTAGTTGTCCGGGGGTAGTTGTCCGGGGGTAGATGTCCTAAGGGTAGTCGTCCTAGATGGTGGTTGCCCTAGGGGGAATCGTCCTAGAGGGTGGTTGCCCCAGGGAGGGTTTTCCGGATACGACTCTTATTTCATTTTGAATAGTGCTAAACCCATTTGCGTCGTGAGTTGCAGAAAATTAAAAAATTGTCTTTTTAATTGTTACCAAATGATACACCTAGCACAAGTTGATTTGTATACATTTTTAAAATAAATATCTTTGTACCGTATTTCTTGTATAGTGCAACATCTAGTCTTTGGATGGCTTTGCTCTCCGTGGTTATTATTTCCCCTTATTTCTTGTTTTGGCATGTTGGCCACTAGACCAACAACCCAGTACACCAAATGCCCACTAGACCAAAAATCCACTAGACCGACAGGCCACTAGACCAAAAGGTCACAAGACCGACAACCCTCTAGACCGACAGGCCACTAGACCGACAACCCACTAGACCAACAATGTCGGTCTTGCTAACGTTGTGAAAGTTGTTTAAAGGCCCATGTGACCAATGGCTCAGTAGAAATCTTTCTTAAAGGTTCACCTACCTAACCAAAATAATTGTCGGTCTCTTGGACTTTGGTCTACTTGCATGCTCTAATATTAATCATCTTTATCTTCCATCATTTCCCCCCTCTCTCTCATTTCTTTGTAATCAATCAATGTGCATATCGTCGTTTTTACCTTCACGAAAGGAATACGTACACGGTATCTATACATATCTAATATGTTTTAAGAACGAAGAAATCTCAAAGCTTTATTGATACACTCGTTAGACTAATTTGATCTGAAGGTCAAAGGTCAAACCTTCAAACCAATAGATTTACAACAAATGTGTAATTTTCTTGTTTTAATGTATCTTGCATTCGAAAGGCAACATTGAATCAGAGTTATCATTACATTCGTAGCAGATCAGATTGGTATACAATAAGATTACATGATAAAGATGTTATTAACTATCCAACCAAGCGTTGAAACCAGCAATCAATGTTAGATTTTTGGCAGTTATTTCTGTTACTTTCCAAATATTCAGTCCTCAAGAAAATGCAGTTTACTTCCGTTAAATATCATTATACTATTGGTTTATTAATCCTTTCGATTAAGAATTAACGCCATTATGTTGGTTATTGGTTTATCGATATTGAATTTCAATTTTAATACTTATTTTTCCGTAGTTTATAGTGCACTTTTTTTGGTATTATCTATCATATTAATAAATTGTTTGTGGTAAAGACAAACATTAATCGCGTACACTAAATAAGATATTTGAGGAGAAAAGGATATCACTTTAAATTGTTTCTTGATAATTTTGTTAAATAAATATTTGCCTTGTTTTGTGTAAACATAACAATTATTGAATGCAATTCACCATACACACTATAGATAGACAAATACATTTGAAGGGATATGAAAATAATTCGATTTGTTTCCGTTATAAATCTTTCTTTCGGTCCCTATCTTTTCAGGCTCTACCTTACAGACATAGGCCCGTATTCTGAAGTCAGGTTTAACTTTAAACCTAGGTTTAAGTCTAGTCTAAGCCTCGCTTAACTCTCAGATTTAAACCTAGGTTTAATTTTGCGTTTCTGAAGTCAGGTTTAACTTAAACCTAGGTTTAAGCCTGGTCTAACTCTGTGGAAATTGTACACATTTAAACCTGGGGTACACCTAGTTTAAGTCTGGCTTAAGTCAGGTCTAACTATTTGTTGGAAATTCAGAGGAGAAGAAGACACCATTAAAAGGCATTACGACGAATTATTGCAAATAATGAGACCGGAGAGACCTCTTGTGGAAAGAAAAGAACCTTTCATAATCATTGCGACGATGATTTTTTTGCATCGCTGTTGTTTTTTAAATACCAAACAAACAGCGATTTGCACTGACTCCAACAGTACAAGGTGACACACACATCGCTTGCGGATGAAAGTGGGCCTTGCGATTTTATGCCTTCGGCAAGTTTGAACATTAATTTGGATACTTCATTTGCTTATTGAATCTTTATGCCTAATATTTTCTAAGTCTTAAGATTTTATATTTTATATAAGATTGTGTGATTTGTATAGTACGACAATACTTGAAACTAAAAAGTTGCCAAAGTAAATCGACAACACGTATCACTTTGTTGCAGAGGAAAACAAATATAGTAGGCCTAGCCCCATACCTTTTGTTTGACGTTATGCTCACGTAGTTTTGAAACTGTGAGTGCAATGCACATTTTTGAATTGCGTCCCAACGATGTAAACAAGCGCGAGTTAAAATAAAACTGTAGGCCTAAGGTTGAATTAGAATTAAGAGTAAATTAATGAAGAGCTAAATCTATATTTATAAGACAATCATGGATTAGCATAATTAAGAGCCAACGAGTGTGTTAAGCCGGAACTCTAGACCTAGTAGAGTTTTGGGTAGAATCTAATCCTACAATTTCTGCCCTAGATCTAGTCTAGACTCTAGACCGATTAGGCGCGCCTAGTCTATTAATATTATGATGTCAAAACATCCATAACATCCTAAAGATGCCCCGAAAGATGCACTAGAGGTCTAGATCTAGACTCTAGATCTAGATATCTAGATCTAGACCTAAATAAGATTAAAATGACTAAAAGAGAAATGATCACAAATACCTTCTTGATGCAGAATAACTAGTCCAAAGTCAACATTGAAGCTCATATAATATGGTCGAATTTCAAGCGTTTTTTTTTTAGGACAATGCAATATTTCTAAACTGTGTGTACTTGAACGAATGAATGCGCGCACGATCGATGATGCGCGCACGGTTACCAAGAAGGAGATCGTGATACCCGAGGTATCCGATACCCGACACGTCGGTTCGAAAAAGGATTCCAATGTCCTAAAAAAAACTAAAAATCAAACAAATGAGCTTCTGCAATGTTGACTTTGGACTAGTTATTTTGCATCAAGAAGGTATTTTTGATCGTTTTTAGTTTCTCTTTTAGTCATTTAAATCTTATTTAGAGCATTTGTATGATGTTCTGGAAGTTTTGACCAATCTGGGCATACAGAAATTGTAGAATCCTGATTTTTGTATTATTTATTTTTCGTAAAGAACAATTCCACCTCGATTCAGACTTTTTCAGCAGTTTAACAATAAATCAAAGGGTAAAACAAAACAAAAAATCAGGTCATAACGTTCAATGGTTGCTTCGAAAGAGATTTGTTTGTGTCGAATATTTTAAATTGAAGTTATTAAATTTGCAGCACGAAATCCAGCTATAAAAAAGCCTATATCAGCTACCCTTGAAGATGGATGAGCTGTACTGAGCATGTGCAGTAGAAGCAGACTACATCTCCATGGTAGTTAAACCTTGGCTTAACTTTAAACCTGGGTTTTAGACTTAAACCTGGGTTTAACTAAACCTGGCTTTCAGAAACTGAAATGATACTTAGACCTGAAGTCTGGCTTAGTTAAACCCGGGTTTAAAGTTAAACCTAGGTTTAACTAAACCTGACTTCAGAATACGGGCCATACAGACTTGTATGATACGCATTTAAACACGGAATATATTCACAATTTCACAATAGACCAGTTCACGTTTAGCACATGTCCCAAACGACCCCGAATATCCACAGATCTTCAAATG